ATCAAATCTTGGGCCGTGAGTCGCCCGGGCCAACCAAGCCTTCCATCCCTCCGGGGTCGGTAATTGGTACCAGACTTGTCTGGGAGGATAAAAAACATTGACTTGTGCATCGGCTGGCCTCCCACAATTCATTGTATTAGCCACATCGCATTCAAACGCTACTACGAATGTTCAATTGGAACTAGGATGCGTGCCACGTCCCAAGAAGGGTTTGATAAACGGCAAATGCTTTACTTTCTTATAATCTTAGTTCCGAGTCAAAGCAACAACTCCGGATGAGGTCATGTCGAGGAATCTATTCTGTATAGAGTAGATCACGAGTATCACAGGTTTGTCGTTGTTGCAGCTCACAAGCGCTCGACAATGTCGCCGAAGCCTTCAAGTAAGCTAGTGAAGGCTAATGTGAGCTAATGGACGAGATACCTCGCTCACACACCTAGCCAAGCAATATGGATTCCGGGTGGTGGAGCCATGGAGCAAGCAAGTTCGGACAACTCGTCCGACACGCCCCTCCCTAATTTCAAGTGGGAATAGAGGAAGTCTTTATCTGAGGGCTTCCTCTTCGAGGGCTTGCTATACTTCTTTTTTCATTTCTAGTCAACTCGACATCCACGATTTCATTATCGACCGCTTTGACCGCACCAATTCAATCTGAGGTTGATGTTTCAAGGCCCAGAAGTTTCGAGAGCTGGATTGTTAGGCAAACCCCAAGCTGAAACAAGGTCTTGGGTCAGGGTGCCCCACCGGTCTACCCTTCAGTAGAGGGTAACCTGCCGCTGACCGCTATTTATGCCCGCCCACTCTGGTCTATCGCACGTATACATATTTCCTGCCACATGAAATCCTGTGTGTCAGTGCGCAATGCACTTGTGGCGTTTGCTTGATGCGTGCCAGTGATGAGTGCGCTTAGGACGTCGGCACCAAAGGTCATCTCTGGGCGCTCCACATCATTGACGTTCTTCAGCTGGTCCATGTCTGTCCTATCAACCGATTGTACAGTGTCTCGTCGTTGCTATGCCTCATTGCGCTCTGTGTCGCTCTGACCCCGTCGGCGCCTATATAAACCGGCAAATTTCCACGTTGGTAACCGAACTCCATACTGCTCAACCCAGTTATTCGTTCAAGGTTTTCGAATTTCCATTTTCCAGTACTTCCTCCAGGTTATTTCCATCCCCTCGACACATCAGCTGGTCCTTATTTTGATGCAAAATTTCATTTTTTTCCGGTTGCTTGATAATGTTTGATGCCTATTCTGTTCGCTACAGTATTGACAACGCAAATCAAACAAAGATTTAGTAACTGTTTGATTAGATCTGGTAGACGTCACATATGGTGCTTATTTTTTATAATATTGATGGCATAGTATAAATGCAATTCTGTGTTTGACAAGATCTGCTAAACGTCACACAATGTGTTGCGTTTCGTTCATTCCGTCATTCCATCTCTCCCATCTCTCTATTATTCGTGGATATTGACAAATTAGCATACGATTTATATTCCATCATCTTTCGTTTCATGGAATATCAGAACAATTGTTTCCATTTTTCCATCATTTCGAATGTACGAGGTGTGTAAAGCACAAGATATTGTAATGCATCTATCATTTCTTTAACAACGAATCGGCGTTCTTCATTGAAAAATTCGCGACGTGTTCGTTCATCGTACAATACGATGATGAATTTTAGTGTTACATTTCAGATGCAATTTAATCAACAATAGCTATGGATTTGAATTATATGCAACTTCTTGCTGCTGCAGCTGCAATGCCGGCGGCACCTCCGGTCACCTCCATTGGACAACAGGTGACCATTACACCTTTAAATATTTCATTAATTTCATTCTATTGTGAAAACTTTCTAATCTTGAAGCTGTGTGCCGTAGGAGAGGCAAGCCTACTATATGGCCTAAGGTTAAGCTAACCCTCAATTTTGCACATACTAGGGAAAGGGAAGGGTAGGTCAAGTTAGAGCCCAAGAGGGTTAG